CAAAAACTTTAAAATCGAAAATCAAAACATAAAGTTGAACTCGTAGCATAGCCTAGCTACCGGAAAATGTGTGTCTTAAATGTGTATGTAAAAATTACGAGAAGAAAATGTAGTCAAATAAAGCTGTGTGCTTGAGGCCAGTCTTCTATCACAGATACGTTTCCATCAAACATTGCACTCTACCCGATTTTAGTGGTTAATCCCAGTTCTGGAACATTGTACTCTAGGACAAGTACAAAATTCGTGAATTTCATATACTGAATGCCAATAAGTCTTTAGTCACTCTTGAAAAAAATGGTTGAAGATAGAACAGTTCGTAATTTTGTTAGTGAGTCTCGTCTATTAAGTTAATTAATAAATATGGCCTTAACGTTGGGCGCCAAAAATAAGCTAACAACTATACATCTGTAACGTTCAAAGTGGCAGCTGAAAAAAAAAAACTTACGAGGCAACGCTCGCTTTTGATTTTTGCTGTGCTCGTCGGCTTGAGGGGATGGTATAGGGGTGTTGCACCGAAAATGCCTTGATGTTGTTAACCTATCTTAAAAAATAGAGTGCTGCGACAAAATTTGACTCACAGATACACATAGACATGCACTGTAAGACACAACTACAACCGGAGATAACAAAACTACGAAATGACACCTCAACTTTACACACACACATTTAGATATGACCACTGATGTTGTTGTGGTCAATTGCCCACCCTACCTGTGGCCGTCACATCCTGGGGAAGACCTCTCCCCACGGCCCCTTTCCACATTTCTACCGGTGCTGCCCCAGCCTGAGTTCAACTACAAAATCTTTTAGCAAATCATTATAATTTATTGCCTAATACTAAAACAAAACATTAAACATAGAAATATTAAAAGACATGAATAAATAAATTTTAGAACATAAACAGGACGTTAAATAAATAAAAAATACAAAAAAACATTTAATTGAACAATGTCTTAAAACTCTAATTGAGCCCTGGATTGCATTGGCAAATCGTAAACTCTAAAATTTGTCGCGCAGCGACTGCAGTCAGCGCTGCCAAAAGAAACTAAACGCATATTATATAAAAGCAAATTTAATCAAAACAACAAAAGCATTTGTGGATCTGCTTGAACGAAAAACCTACAAACATAAAAATCCCTCGGCAACGGTCGGGATGTGATAACAGGCGCGCATGCGCGACCACCAGCGAGCTTCGCCGTTCGTGTTTAGATGTTAAAATTAAATAAAAGTTTGACTCACGTAAAGTTTGTTGCCGCATCCGATGAAAGCGCTTCCAAAGAGGCTGCCGCATCTGTGAATAGATCAGAAAATATCGCTCGCCTAACAAGCCTCGCGCATAACCTTTCTTGTTATGTAGTTTTTATGTTTGTTTTGTTCGCCTAACATGACCGACTGTTCTTTTGTGTTTTCTTAAAGTTTTTCGACTTAGGTTTAAATACAAATAATAATAAAAAGGAAGTGAACTTTACTAACTATGTTGACATTCTTTATGTGGTCGGCAATATTGATTGGTGGATTTCAGAGATCCAAAGTTTTGCGATCAAATCAAGAAAAAACAGTGCGATGCTCTGTTGGACGCTGCTGTTTGAGGAAAAACCTCGATACGGCCTTGCCGCTGTGGCCGATCCAAAAGACTCTTGGCTTTAAACAAAAAAAATGCGCATATGGAATTCTCTTCGGGGATTGGCTCTTAGAAGCGCCGTGGTTTGTGTCCGGCGACTCTTGTCTGTTGTCCAGGCCCGCCGCCGTGGTAGTGCTCTCTTTTTTACAAATCCTCGTCGCGGTTCTTGCCGAGATCGCTCTTCCGCGTCGCTTGCAGCTGAGCCGCAAAGTCAATGTTAAACCCAAACTAGGAAAAAATGCCTAACTCACCCTTTGAGACCCACTGTTGTTACAAGGGGCTTGAAACACTTCTCACGGGATTAGGTTTGAAATAAGTAAGCTGCAAAAGGTGCCAATTAGCTTTGGGGAACACACAAACTTTCCCACTTTCACCCACTTGTAACTATACTTGGAAATTCACTTGCTATGAGCGGCTGACGCCAGCGGGCCGCCTTTTATATCCTAGCAAGACGACACCAAACCGCGATTCCACCACTCCGCCATTTAGCCACGGACAGGCGCCAAAATCCTTTCACTCCTTGCTCTCGATCAGTCCCTCCTAGCAACCCACATGCCACAGTTTTTCCGGACCTACTAGGAGCGCAGCATGTTGCCTTGTTTCTCCCAGATGTTCCTAAGAGACAAGTTGCTGAGCATCCGGAAAAAAAAATGTTGCTAAGCATTCGGAGGTGCTGGTCTAAGCTATCCGAAACCCAGATACATTGCTGGTACACGCGCCCTTACAATATCTAGAAGCTTATTTAAGTTATTAAATACATGGTTAATCTGGACTATTCCCACACTAAGAAGCTCATCAATGACTAAGATTTCGTGGGGAGATGCAAATTACTGGGAACCATTGCTGAAGACTCAACATCATGAGCCCACACGAGCGAAGATAGGCTGAAGTCGCCAGAAACACATATATACAGGCCATCTTCCAGCTCCTGGTATAGGTGGGCAATGTTGTCCACACGCGCTTTATATAAATCAAAACTGCTGCTTGGGGTTATGTATGATACTGCAAGAAGATAGACGAAGAGGAGAGCATTGTACACCTCCTATGCTTCTGCCTAGCGCATAACCTCAAGCGTTTTCGAACCCTAGGGAGCTACACACTTCCGAACCTTGCCGCCATTCAGGGCGTAAGCATTACAAAAATGTGGTTTCCTAAAAAGAACAAACTGCACAGAGATTACGTGGTATCACAAGAGGCCCTCAGTAGTATTTTTTTTACATTTGCGTTTTTTCGCCCATATTGAAAGAAAAGCCCACATCTCCATTGCGATTCTGCGCTGTCTTTTATTAACTACAGCTCTAAAGGAAGTACCGAAAACTAAATTCTTATATTCGATTAAAGCAAAATTTTATGTGTTGCTCAAATGTTACGTGCCTCGTCAGAAATTAAATTTGAGTACAATTTTTTAACGTTACGGTCATGGATCGATAATGTAAGTCAATATCTTACTGCCAGACGACTGCTGAAAAATATGTAAGAATGGCAGTTGCTGAAAGAAAAAGTGGACGAGCCTCAGGAAAAACAAGAAAGAAAGTTAGCTTCGGCAATCCGAAGCTTATATACTCTTGCAGCTATAATTATTAAATTTAAAAACACAAAAATTGATATTACCAATAGTATAAGATAATTTGTCAAAAAACACCGAAGCTAAAATTTGTTTCATAGTATTTTCCTACCAATTTTAAGATCGTTCCTATGGCAGCTACATGATATAGTCGTCCGATTTTGATCAAATTAAATTCGAAATTCAGAACTAATTAAAAAATGTTGTTTCCAAGCGTTGAAGCTTATATGTTGAAAAACACCGAAGCTATAATTTGTTTCATATTATTTTTCCACCAATTTTCCTATCGTTCCTATGGCAGCTGTATGATATAGTCGTCCGATTTCGATAAAATTTAATTCAAAATTCAAAGCTAATTAAAAAATGTTATTTCCAAGCTTAGGAGGTTATATGCTAAAAAACACCAAAGATATAATTTTGTTGTCCGATTATTCCTATGGGAGCTATACGATATAGTAGTCCGATCCGGCTGGTTCCGACTTATATACTACCTGAAAGTTTCAGCTCGATAGCTTTAAAACTGAGAGACTAGTTTGCGTAGAAACGGACGGACAGACGGACATGGCTAGATCGACTCGTCTACTCATGCTGATCAAGAATATGTCTACTTTATGGGGTCGGAAACGTCTCCTTCACTGCGTTGCAAACTTCTGACTGAAATCAATATACCCTCTGCAAGGGTATAAAAATGTAAGCATTTCGTCAGCCATTTCAAAAAATTGTACGGCGACAAAAATAAGTTGGCGATTCGCATAGATCAATAGCCAGCGCTGAAAGCACAGGTTTCTAAAATAATTAAAAGAAGTCATAAGGAGCACAGAGTTCAATGATTCATCGATCGTCGATACACCCCCACCACCCAGAAAGAATAATGCAGGTTCTTCCTTTTTATGAGGAGCATTTGCAGTTATCTTACTCGCTTTTTTATTTAAATAGTATTAAAGTATTTTATGTTTTATATCCATATGTATATGCATTCGGTTTTTATTTAGCTTGTACGAAAAATTTCAGGGGATGAAAAGCGAAGTGGAAAAATAAGTAAGAGAGCGAATGAAGATTCCCGGGATCAGTAGGGAGTAATCCTAACGCGCAAGCCTGGACATACACACACAAACTTATACGCTAACGGTGCCCTTAGTGACATTCTTTGGATTCGATGTGAAAAATGATCAGCAATAATACCGACATATTACAAAGAGAGTGAGAGAGGGTCGCCTACATATAGAGTGACAGTGGAAAACTCAATCTGAATAAGAAGACTTTTTGATGAAGCGTGCGATTTGTATATCATATTTAACTTTAATTAATTTTCTCCCAATTCCCGAAGTCTTTATATGAAAATTCAACCACTGCGTCTGGTATTCACGAATCGGCCATTTTGATTTTTTCCCTTACACCATATAAAAATAGAGCATCGTGGATCTCCAAGTAGTTCACGTATATAAACATACTTATATAGACATTTATTTATATTGGTTGGTATTTTTCGTACTTGGCTTACTTTACTCTCCCTTCCTTTGCTACCCTCCGACCGGTTGATAAATAAAAATCTTCTCTCACTCTATTATATAAAACATTTGCCTGCATTTATGTATTAATATACATAAACAGTCGGTTTTGTAAATATTGCTGTACAAAAAAATAAAAAAAAATGTCTGCGTCACCTTGCGTTGTTCTGTTTTTGGTAATTATTCTCGCTTCAATTTTGTTTGGGTTTGCTGCATTTGTAGTTTTGGTCGCTTATAATTAAGGTTGCCAATATTTTTTTTTAAATTTTGTTCAAAGCTAAGGATTGATTTTATTTTTTACCGGACATTTTATAGTTGTGTTTTCCTTTTATTTGTATCGTATAAACCAAAAAATTTTAAATATAATAATGCAGAAATTTATATTTTTGTTGTAGTTCAGTAACTATTTGCGTTTTTGACAATTTTAAGTATATGCATTTTAACTCGTTCCATTTCTTCTTGTACACACAAAAAACCTCAAGTGCTTTATTGGCCGTCGGTTTTTTTCCATAAATGTAAATATTATTAATTACTTTTTATGTTAGTTCATTTACGGTTTTCTCTTATCAATTTTTTTCCTGTTGTTATAGTTGTTGCTGTGTGTGTTGTGGTTGATGGGGGTGTATGTGTTGATTTATGGTCCTAGTACCCGCAAGTAATCAGATAATCTCCAAGTTTCTCTACGACGGACGCGGCCTGTTGGGGCTGTACAGGATCTTCATAGATAGAAACAATCACGGCTGCAAAAGATAATAGAAGTGTATAAGGTATGGATTAGTCAATCAATTGGAAACAACCTGAATTTATTGAGATGTAGTACAAAAAAAGCCGATTGAAAACATTATTCAATCAATTTTAAAATCATACTAATGGTCTTTAAAGTTTATGATTATGCCTATTTAATTTAAAATACCATGAATTTCCTAAAATACGGTTTTTTAAATAAAGAATAAATTCTTATACTTTGATGTGTTGACAATGTTCCCAAATAGCGAGGAAAAAGCAGCAAAAAAATAAAATTTAACAGTTTTTTTTTTAGCTAGAAATGATGAAAAATATATCAATGAAGAGCCCGTGACCGGGAAACGAGAGCCAACCCGGATGACAAGCCTCCAGATAAGTGCCTTATACATTAATCAAGTGAGCTGAAAAATGGTGACACTGGTAGTTTTGTACTGAAACGAAACAGCAGTGCAACAACTCTCCGCTCGGTCGAATAAAATCGAAGCGTGAAACTAGACAGAGCTCACCCGGTGGTCGATAAAGCGGGTCCGCATGAAAAACGTATGTAAATTTGTAATCTCACCCGCCAATACTGTGCGTGCACCAAAATGTGAAGGCATTTGAAACATATAAAAATGTGTTTTGGCTTTAAAGTGTATCACTAATTCGCACTGTTTCCCTTTACGTTTTTAATATAGGTGGCCTCGATTTGGGAAGCCATTTTTTATTCTTAAGATGATATATTTATTTCACAATTTGCTTAAATCGTTAAGGAAAATTTTTTATTTTTTATTTTTCAAAATTGTTTAATAAATTTAAATTTTTTATTCAGGCTGGGCTCTACAATTTTATTTATTTTTTATTTTTTTTTTTAACCCCATAAAGTAGCCGAGTCGATCTAGCCATGTCTGTCTGTCCGTCTGTCTGTCCGGATGAACGCTGAAATCTCGGAAACTATAAGAGCTATTGAGATTTGGCGTGCAGATTCCTGAGCTTCTTACGCAGCGCAAGTTTGTTTCAGCAGAGTGCCACGCCCACTCTAACGCCCACAAACCGCCCAAAACTGTGGCTCCTACAGTTTTGATGCTAGAATAAAAATTTTAGCTGAAATGTATTGTTCTCATCAACACCTAAAAAAAGTTTGCCACGCCCACTTTAACGCTCACAAACCGCCCAAACCTGTGACGCCCACAATTTTCATGCTAGAGAAAAATTTTAACTGAAATGTATTGGTCTCGTCAATACCTATCGATTGATCCAAAAAAAAATGCCACGCCCACTCTAACGCCCATAACGCTTAAATCTGTCTACCGCCGGTAGGTGGCGCATTTTAATCTCGCTTTGCTGCTTGCATATCTCCTATTAGCTGAGTAACGGGTATCTGATAGTCGAGGTACTCGACTATACCGTTCTTCCTTGTTTTACCTGAAGATGTATAAAATCATATACCTCATATAAATCACAGTATTTTTAAGTTTTTTAAGCCTTTTCTTTAAGTGGTGTTGCTTTTGTTGCCGCATAACTTTGCTACTTCTTTGATAAATGTGTCGAAGTTTTAAGAACCAAGTTTTAAGCCCATAGTGGGCGTAACCACTTTTATTTTTGTTAATAGATACATGACCCTACTTACCCTAACAAACAGAATAAAAATATTGAAATAAAAATTTGCATTTTGTAGAACAAAGAAAAATTTCCTACACATTGGTGCTATTTTTTTTGTCGCAGCTGTGTATTCTTAAGTAAATCTTTTAAACAGACTTATACAAAAACAATATTTATGTCTTCTTTTTTGTGATCTAGGGGTCAAACTCTACAACGAACAACCATCATCCTTCTTGGACCATTTTTGCTGTAATAAAGTGTTACCATTGAAATGTGTCTTTAATGACCGAATTCGGGTCATCAGAAATCGAGATTAATAATTCAAATGACCCAGATATAGGCACTTAAAAAATGGACACCAAAAAATTATATTTTTCCCTTTTATAATCAGGGAACTTAACTTTACCGGAATAACATTTGACGATTTTATTTTGTAAGCTGGTGTAATTTTTGAAGTCTTTTATCATCTCCAATGAGGATTTCAAAGTAGCTTACCTTGTGTTGTCTTCATGCAGTGCACTCCGCTCCGGCCGAGCTTAGCGCGTACCACGCGGTCCGTGCCGGAGAGGTAAATGTACCGTTGGCCGGCGAGTGTTACGCCGTTGCTAGTCAGCCCGTCCTGCTGGTCGAATCCGCTGATTAGTTTGGAAAGTTCCTCTTTTGTCACCTGCAAGATGGGATAGATTTAAGTTATGAAGTCATGAACTATTGCCAAATTGTGGTTTACATAATTTTTTTGCAGCTTGTTTTTTCCAAAGACAAACCTTGTTTCTTTTTAATGAAAAAAATTTACACTTAAAAAAACGTTTCGACGATACCAGCCCAATTCTATTACCTTTTAAGTTAACACTGTGATGCGCTATGATGTTTACCGCAAATCACCTTTCTTTCCTGCTAAGAAAATTTTGTTTTCTCGGCTGCCTCCACATTGGCTTCCACATCTAGCTCTGACAGGGACTCAGGGCCGGTTTCTCGGACAGGTAAAATGCCTCATAGAGAAATTTTGTTTTCTCGAGTGTCTTTGTGAGAGCTACACTTAGCGTCATATCTCTGCGTACAGTGCAAATAATGTTTATTTTGTAAAAATACTATGATTTTTTGTGTGGCTAGACGAAGCAATTGCCTTTCACCTTTTCATATGCGAATATCCGAAAAATTATAAAAAAAAAATCTGTATACATGAGAAAATAGCTTTATATTTTAAAGATAAATCGAAAGAAAAGAGTTCAATTTGCAGTTTCCAAGCCTCCAGAGTTCTGGAAAACCGTAATTTGTTTGCACACGAAAGCAAGTTTTACATATGGAATTAAAGGAAAGAAATTATTCTGGCGCAAGAGCGGAGAAGTCATCAAAAAGAAAAGCTTACTTTCAACTGTGAAACAGGGAAGAGGAAATTATTAATGGAAATTAAATTATGCTATGGGGGTGTATGTATTATCATCGATAATATTATGGACCATAAGATAAACGAGGGCAGTCCGATAAGTACTTAGCCTCACCGCCCGATGGCGTCACTATCGCAAGAGAAATTTACTATCGTGTAGTACATTCTCGAAGACGGTCTCGTAGTTTTGATTTGACTGCATGTGGAATCGGACGTGTCCGCGGATTTTAGGAAAATGGAGAAAGAGTAATATCGGTCTGTGATTCGATTCTTGTTTTTGGAAGGGAAATCGCGCAGCGAAATCAAAAAGCGCTTGGATGCTGTGTACGGTGACTCTTCTCCTTCGATGGCGACCGTCAAAAATTGGTTTAACGAGTTTCAACGTGGTTGCTCGTCGGTTTTTGATGAGCCACGCCCAGGTGCCCCGAAAACGGTTACCATGGAGGATAACGTGACACAAATCCACGATCTCGTATTGGCAGACCGCCGGTTGAAATTATGCAAGATAGCAGAGACAGTAGGCATGTCAAAAGACCGCGTGGGTCATATCCTGCATGAAATTTTGGGATGAGAAAGCTGTCGCCGAGATGGGTGCCGCGTTTGCCCACTCCGGACAACAAACGCAACCGAATGAGTTTCTGCGTCGTTTCGTGACCGTCGACGAAACATGGGTCCACTGGTACACACCAGAGACCAAGGAACAGTCGAAGCAGTGGATTTAACCCGTTAACCTGCTCCGAAGAAGGCGAAGACTTTCCCATCGGCCAAAAAGGTGATGGCCACCGTTTTTTGGGACTCACAAGGTGTGATCTACATCGACTACCTGGAGAAGGGCAAAACGGTCACAGGGCTGTACTATGCCGAATTATTGGGCCGATTCGCCGCCGAATTTGGCGAAGAAAAAAGTGCTCTTCCATCATAACAACGCACCGGCTCACACTTCCGCCCTCGACAAGGCCAAATTGGTCGAATTGGGCTACGAACTGCTACCCCATCCACCATATTCTCCAGATTTGGCCCCGTGTGACTTCATTTTGTTTTCAAACTTGAAAGTCACTCGCTGGACAGAAATCGGAATCGAATGAGGAGGTCGTCGCCGCCACAGAGGCCTATTTTGCAGACCTCCAGAAAACGTATTTTTCAGACGGGTTAAAGAAGTTGGAGCGTTGGAGTTGAAATCGCCACTTTTCCAAAATTTTCGGTTTTCTTTTGGAGGCTAAATACTTATCGGACCACCCTCGTATATCAAACTGTTGATGGATAATTTGATCCTAAGTGCAACAAAGATGGAATTACAGAACAAGTTTTAATTCCAACAAGATAAAGATTCCAAACATACAGCCCATACTATATCAAGCTGTACGCGAACTTTTGAACACATGTTATTTTAAAAGGTTTGGGGGAAACACGAATTAAAGAAGTATTAAAGACAATATAATTGTTTTAAATTATAGAACAAGAAGGCGATTACTGTGACAATCCACACAAAAAATAATACTTTTTTGTATCACTCCTATCCCAAGATTTGTACACTCGAAGTTACACAGAGATATGACGCTGAGTGAAACTCTGACGGTACTGCCTGTTAATTCTATTTCGGTTCGATAAAATGACAGCTATTTTTACAAAGCCTTCTAAGGGACGTTTTCTCGAGTGCCACCTAAAATTTCTCGAACAGATAAATCCCTGCTAAGGAAATTTGGTTTTCTCGGACGCCAATGTGAGAGCTAACTCTGACGGACACAGGCTCCGAGCTAAGTATTTTTCGGCTCCTTGAAATGACAGCTGATTTTATGAAGCCTACTAAGATTACATCACTGTAGACGGCAGTCCACATAGTGGCGAAGCGCAAGAAAGAAATAAATATACTATCTACATTTTTAGCATTTGGCACGCTGAAATTTAATATACCTGTGTTTTTCTCATTTGGCACGCTGAAATTTAATATACCTGTGTTTTTCTCATTCAACACGCTTTATCAAAATCGTACAGCTAAACACAGGTATATTAAATTGAAGCGTGCCGAACATAAAGAATTTAGAAAGTGTGTTTATTTAATAAATCGTATAATACATTTTCGTCACAAATATTGATCGTCAAGAGGTGTTTTTGTTTGATTTTTTAATCTCAAAGAAATAACCAACGCAATTTTGTGATTAACAGCACTCAACACTAACAGAGTCGAGAAAACCAATGTGCTTTTACGACAAGTTTATCTGATCCTTAACTTTTTCGAAAACAAAGAAGACTCGAGAAACCGGCCCTTATTAACTTTTAGAACAAAAGAAAAACCATCATTGTACGTTTACTATATAAAGATAAACCCATTAGGGTCGCTGCCAAAATAAATTTAAAAAATAATAACAGCGAGCTATGTATGTAGATCAGATCGACTCGTGATTTAAAAAAAAAAACAAGGAAGAACGCTATAGTCGAGTACCTCGACTATCAGATACCCGTTACTCAGATAAAGGGACCAAAAGGAAATGGAGATAAGCAAGCAGCAAAGCGAGATTAAAATAAGCCACCTACCGGCGGTAGACTGATTTAATTCGTTATGGGCGTTACAGTGGGCGTGTCAAATTTTTTTTGGATCAATCGATAGGTATTGACGAGACCAATACATTTCAGTTAAAATTTGTATTCCAGCATCAAAACTGTAGGAGCCACAGTTTTGGGCGGTTTGTGGGCGTAAGAGTGGGCGTGGCACATTGCTGAAACAAACTTGCGCTGCGTAAGAAGCTCTGGAATCTGCACGCCAAATTTCAATAGCCTAGCTCTTATAGTTTCCGAGATCTCAGCGTTCATCCGGACAGAACCCCCACAAACCGCCCAAACCTGTGACGCCCACAGTTTTCATGCTAGATTTTAACTGAAATGTATTGGTCTCATCAATACCTATCGATTGATCCAAAAAAAAAATTTGCCACGCCCACTCTAACGCCCATAACGCTTAAGTCTGTCTACCGCCGGTAGGTGGCGTATTTTAATCTCGCTTTGCTGCTTGCATATTTCCATTTCCCTTTGGTCTCTTTGGCTGAGTAACGGGTATCTGAAAGTCGAGGTACTCGACTATAGCGTTCTTCCTTGTTTTTTTTATACCATGCTACGGTATGGAAGCAATCGGTTGCAGAAACACATATTTATGTACAAAATAATATGATAATCGGGTTTGTATGCGCCAGCGGGGTTATAGAACCTTATAAAAATTACTACCCTTCACATACACATACATATTTTTATATAAGACTTATTATAAACTTGACAGATTCTACAGTATAGCTTTCAACTGTCCCATTGTAACAAGCTTTACTTAATTAATTTAAATTTTTTAATGATAAAACAAGGGAGAACGCTATAACCGAGAGCTTCGTCTTTTAGACACCCGCTACTAAGCTAACCAACAAATAAAAGTGTTTTGTCTGTTGACCAATTTTAAAATAAAATTCCATGGAATTTTTTTTTTTGCGCTGCACGACTCTACCTCCTAGCGGATGGTAGATATACTATTGACCGTGGAAGCCCTTTCCTCACTTATTAACTTAGAATTTCAATCTTTTTAATAAAATTGCGATTGGGATGATTATTGAAATGTAGACAGGTATTGATCAATAAATTCTGTTTAAATTAACGCTTAAACTAAATCTTTAAAAATGTAGGCGCTAGGCGGACTTTAGCGTCATGAGCGATTGCTGGCGTTACAGTAGGCGTGGCACTCCGATAAAACAAACTTCTGCTGCTTAAAACCCCTCAATTTTGCTTCTGTCCAGATCTCAGCATTTATATGGACGGACATGGATAGATCGACTCAGCTAGTTACCCTGAGAAAGAATATAAACACACTTTCTAAATTTTTTACATTTGGCACGCTGCAATTCAATATGCCTTTAGAAAGTTTGTTTATTTAGTAGATTGTATAATACAGTTTCGTCACAAAAGGTGATGGTGCGATCTTCACTTGATTTTTTCCTCGTTAAGAGGTGTTTTTGTTTAATATCAGAAGTTTTTGTTTTAAGCATCAATCATATAATTAATATACTTTCTCAAAAGCTGTATAGTTCGAGTTTTTTATATGGAACTGTTGCTTGCAATTTAAATGATTCCATGACCCTAAAATAGCGTTTGGATACGCACATACAAAATTCAATGTTGTCCAAAGCTGAGGAATCTCAAGGGTTTAACCGAAATCGTTTTTGAAAAATAAAAAAAACTAAGAAATCTAAATTTAAAAAAGTTTGTTGATAATTTTTAACGTTGGTATTTAGACAAATCATGTTAGAAAGGAATACAAATTTTTTTAAAATACCTTTCTAACGACATATAGCACAAGGTTTAGCTTTAGTAGATCACAAGCTACGGGTGTACGAAACTGGCAAACAAATTAAATTGTTCATTTTGAGAAGTCCGCCAAAATCTTGTTTTGCGTATATCTTTTGAAAGGAGCATCAGATTTCAACAACTGAGGTGTCATTTGACGCGCATTTTAAGTGAGAACACAATTAGACTCGTGCATTTATCATTAACGGCCCCAACAGATCAAATTTTCTAAATTTTCACTTTTACACTTACTCCGCTCTTTCTCCCAAACCAATTGATTTTTAAAGTCTTGGTAAGCAACCCTTTTAGTCTTTGCGATACCTTTCGGTCGGACAGTAGATTTTCATTTATAGTAGTATTTATATTTATACTAGTTGCCTTCGCACACTCTCCATGTGCGCTTCGTCACTACGTGGGCTGCCGTCCAAAAGGTTTTTGCCGCCTGCCAAAAGGTGACACATCGAAATGCCTCTTAAGCTGTAGGCATCGAGAAGTTTCCATTGAGCGAGAAGCGCGTCGACTGAGAGAAAGAAAGGCGGAGAGCAGAGAAGAATAGTCGCACAAAGCCGGTTTTATGACAGCTATACCAAAAACAGAGGTGCGCGCCGCATCGATCGCAAAAACTCCACAACTGCCAAAAAACGTTTGCAATCTCCTATAAAGGAAATTTTTAAAAGCATGTGCTTGCACAAACATAAAACGGATCCTGTCTTTAAAAGCCGGTTTTGCAAAAAAAAAAAAAAAATAAATAAAACAAAGACGTCTTTGATAAGCCTATAAAATTCGAAGTCTTAAAATAATTCCGGCTAGGCCCAAAGCTGCTGATTAATCGGGAGGGTAAAAGTGGATATTAACTACGATTTGTAAGATTTAAACTACTAATTGAGATTAATATTAGGTAACTTGGGAAATGCGAAATAAAGAAAATCAACAAAAGACGGATACGAGACTAGTAGTATAATGAAATTGATACCGAGTGCAAGAATGGGAAATTAAGAAAAGAAAGAGTAGAATGATGATGCAGGCAGCGAATCTTTGGTCAACCTTATTTTGTAAAAATTGGTTTCTAATCTAATGGGACCCACGACACTGGGAGAAAAAGTCGGCAGTCTACAAACAAAGCACAAGGGAGTGAAAACGCGCACAAGAGAGTCGACAGGAAGTTACACACGCATACGAAAAAGGCAAAAACGTGGCGCGCATACTAAAAATGCTCGAGTGTTCATTCGCATTAAGAGGTAAAACAGACTTGACTCAATCTACGCTGGTGACGCGGCATCGCCTGCTCAATATATTTTCTGTACTTCTATTATTTTAACTCCGATAAAGAGCATTTATTTTGAACGGTAGAGGAAGCAAGCAGAATCAGCGACAGCAACAAAGCAGAAAAGCCTGCACTAATAATTGAGTGCGATAAATGCGAGCGATAACGAAGGGGTGGGGCTACAGACTGCATTATCAGGAAGCAGTGTTGCACTGCGCTCTATACATTAAAGCCAGCTGCTGATATCAGATTTCTGTCTCCCAGAGTAATCACCTAAAATCGAAATGGAACCTGAGTCATCGATAAACAGAAATATACCAGTCACTAGCCAGATGTTTGGCCTATTCCTCCGACTACGATTAGGACCGTACGAGTGGCTTGCAGCACGATCACCCAAACTCTTCTGAATTGGGGACGTGGGTGAGTGGGAGAGCGGGCCTGCGCAGGAGCTCTGCAGGGGGTGAAACTGGCGAGGGTTAAGTGTTCTTTATCAAGCGAAAGTAATCATGGCGGCCGAGAGAGGGAGACAGCATGAGTCACACCCTTGAACTTGCGAAAATTCATTGTCAACTTGCCGTTATACGCTGGCCGCTTTCTATCCGTATTCCAAACGCATTCCGTACTCACCTCGAAACCATTAGACTGCGCCCATATGTTTCCATCGTGGCCGGCGATGCACGCCTTGGTCACGCACTGCGAGGCCAGAAGTTGGTTGTCCACATAATCTTGCCAGCTCATGGTGTTTTTTTTTTCGTGGGTGAGGATTAAGTTGTATTGATATGACCTGAATGTTAGCTGGATCGCTGCCTTACCGCACGTCGAGTCGCACTTTCGTTTCGGGGGTCACACGAAGTTGGCAAATAGACAAAGAAAAATCTGCAACGCCGACGATTTTTTATTGTATTAAATTACTTTTAACTGCAACGAGAGAGGTAGACAGAATTAACATTTATAGAATCGCATTCGACAATCTTCGACTTGAAAACGGTGCGCCATAGCCTCGTTAGCTTCTTTTCTCCGCCCTTGACAAATTATTGGGTGGCAGCGGCGACTTGAGTAAGGATTTTCAAACGATTTGCTAGTATGTGCATATTTATATCCAAGTAACTATGATGCAGCGGAACCAAAGCCCAATTTTCCTCCTTTGAAAAAACTCACAAATACACACACTAAGCACAGCCACACGCACGGGGGATGAGACCAAGTCAGATAGAAACAGAAACCATATGCCAGCAGCTCCACACACTAATCAGACTCGCTGGGAAATCTCGAAACGTTCGAGGCTGATTTCCAAAGTCGAATGAGCGCAAAGCGGAATTATAAACCGATTTTGAATTTGAGAAAAATCCACTCAGACGAGAGAGTGCTGCAGGGGGCTGATCCGCTGCTGGTCCAAAGCACTCAATTCCAGACCGTGAGTCACCCGCTTACTCACCCACTTCATTTCTAAGAGTGAGAGCGAGCACTAGAGAGAGAAACAGCGCGACTGGGCTGGAGCGGGTATGTAAGCGAGACGGTCGTACGAGTCGGGCCGTTATTAATCAGCCGGCTGCGGACAATGCAAATGAGCGAGTGAGAGCACAAGATGACTCAACGGAGGTCCGCTCCTCTCCGGACACTTTTAGTGAGTGTTATGAATCGCCTCTTTTTTGGCCGGCATTGTCATAAATTAAAAATAGACTTTTATTTTAACGCCAATATGGAATTTCATTTATTATTATGAGCTGCCCCCGCACCAGCAAAATGTGTGCTAGCAGTGGCAGGTTGACAAAGAGAATCTAATGTGCTATACTGCACGGTTGAACTTTTCTGAACTTATCCCACTTCATTTATTGCACACTTATATACACACAAATCAGAACGCACAGCCAACGCAGTTGGCCAAGTTGCGCGTACAAATGTGGCCTTAACCCATTTAAGGCGTGCTCTCATCACGAAAGTAGTTTTATTCGAAATGTACTACATGTGTTTCTACATTGACTTTTCACTCACATACAGTATAACCAGGAAGAATATCTTTTTTAAAAGAACCTAACGGCACTCACACTGTTCACAGGCTGTAAAAATTCAGAGTGACGGAGGTGGAAAACCATCGATAGAAACATCGATGTTTTAAAATTTTTAAATCATCGATGTTTTTTTTCCGACATTCGATGTTTTTGTCACATCACCAATTTCAGAGAAACGGTGCGGAAGGTATGTAATACCCCTTCCCGTAGAGTCAATTCGTTCGAAACGGTTGGAATATATCCGATACACACAGGGCACATCCACCATCTAACATAACTCCACCATCGAACTAATGAAACTCCGACTCCAACAGATCACATCCACCATCTACCGTCCGATAACAGCTGATCTGGCTAATCGAACCTTCCATTTTCGATTGTTCCCTGTCATCGCTGTTTTTTTTGAAGTGAATGTTTCAATTTCCACTCAAGAAGAAAAGCTCAGAGTTTCACCGAACAAACATCGCCTTACTATCTCATAAAGGAGTCCGTCAAATTTGGATGAGGAACTAACTGGGCAATTTTCGGATCGGCAAAACCTTATGGGCCATCCGTTTAACGGATGGTAGATGGTGGATGGATCTCTGTGGGAAGACCGCTATAAGAGAAAAATGTGTTTATAATTTAAGTTATTTACTGTACAAACATATTTCTAGATTTTCCATTGAAACCAAGACCGCTTTTGAAACTTTAACGCCAGGATGAAAAACGATTCGGACATTATAAAACGCGTACGGTGCCCCGTTTTCCATGGGAAAAATCCAAACCGCCGATGGCGCCTATACCACCAGTTGAACTAAGACAACATATCAAAAACCAAAACGAGCCTGAAGCATGCTACCAACTACTATATTGGAAAGTGGATTTTGATTAAGTTATTTTCACAAATTTTAAGGTACATTTTTTTTATCTTAGACGAGTGCAGATATCTACGAACCGCTTAAACAGGTTGCCTGTGAGTCCGAGAGGTGCTTAACAGATACTGTCGGATCGCCGCGCAAGTCTGAAGCCGGATGTCGTAGACATGTTAATATTTTCGTATCTAAGCTATGCAACTCTGATAACTTCGCTCGCACTACAAAAAATGAGATTTTTCGACTATTCAAACAGAAGGGTTTTTTTTTCACCGACCAAGATCCGCTTCATCGATTTTTTCCTCCATAAGAAATATACGCATAGGAAAGAGTCGGCAAAAATTCGTTACAACTCGCTGCAGCGGAAAATGGGTGATCCCAGGTGATTTCCTAGGTGATTTTTGTACTTGATATTTCGTAATTTTTTTGAGAAGGAAATGCATTTAAGCTGCAGTCACTGCAATGCAGTGGTTCCATTATAAGGAGATCGTTGTTGGAGCAGACCCAAGAAGCCTCCCAACGGCTCGGAACTTTCCAATTGATATCATCTTGGTAATAAATATTGCTGTGCTCTGTTGTAAGAAAATGACTAACTTCTAGCTTATGTCCTTCATGACAAAATTTGGCACCCTTTCCATCGAAAGGTACATTATCAGGGGTGTCACAGAAATCCGTTCCTACCAAGTTTCCCCCGAAAAGCGAATTTCGTTGTGACAGACGTCATTTTTGACGGTTTCTAAATCCCCCGTATTTTGACAGACGTTTTGATAAAATAAACCAACTTACAAATGCTTGCCAAAAATAAAACTTTATTTAAGACAACACTAATGAAATCAATTAACTATCTGCATACTACAATTTTTATATTTTTTTCCGGTTATATTTAAAAGTAAACATTTTATATACCGTCTTGAAAAAATTAGCTTAAAAAAACGTCTGCAAACCGTCAAGCCAGACAGTTGTACCAATTTGCTCGAACTCGAAAATACCAAGAAGTTATCGAAATGTGTTAACGAATTTTATACAGTACGGTAATTAGTATTGTAGTAGTATTGAGAAAAAATTATAAAAACATTCCGCCTTTGCAAAAAGGTGACAGCTCTGTCGTGAAAAATTTCCCATTTTTTGCCGGCAATGATGTAGAAGAAGACATGTAAGTATAAGTAAACAATTTTTGTTTATTGTTAATTTGAATTAATAAACGTTTCTTAGTTTTAGGGGAAAACATAGGTCAGCAGCACAAGACGCCATATTCTGCATCCTAGCCTCTCGAAGTTTTTATCTTCCCAAGTACTCTAGAGCAAGAATTCGTGCAGATGGCATTTTGGTTTGCTTTTAAAATTGTTTACAATTTCCAAGTGTAGATAAACCAATTCAGCAGCCGCAAGCAGCTGTTCAGGGCTGCAGTATGTAGTGTGGCGGGTAATTACAATTTTTCATTTTTTTCATTTATTTTGTACAATATGCGCTTTAAACAAGTATTCTTTTTGTAATTTTGCAAAAAAAAACATAAATAAAGTTTAATGCTTATTGGCAAATGGTCAAAATAAGTTAAATAAAATTCGATAATTATTCAGTAATCGATATTTAGTGTATGTATCCAGCCCTGGTCATTTTTCGGTAGTTTTTTCGAAAAAAGGAAATCACTAGAATTTCTGTGATACCTACGGTTTTGATCCAAATCCGACGTCGGTTTCTGTGAAACCCCTGTACATATCTAAAGAAAATGCCATTTAGGGACGCATCCACCTTTTGTTGCTTTAAAATGGAGATAGTCAATAAATGGTATCCGAGGAAAGTGTTATAAATGTGCAAATTCTCGTGCCGTCACTGGGGCCCAAAACAGTCTCTATTCAACTTTCACTACGCTTTTTTGAATGGAAATCTCACCATAAATTAATTTGCTAATAGCAATGCGTTCAATTGTACTCAGTTTTGCGTTCCTTTCTATATTTTTTGGAGAAACTGATTTTGCCGGTTCTAACCCTTGAGATACGTTGCTTATATGCATATGCCAAACAGCTGTTCGGTTCAAGAACAAGAGTCCGCTTAAAAATTGCAACAGCGTTTTTGGTCGGTTAATGACGTTCCTTTGGAATTCACCGACAAAATCTGGTATTTGTTTTTCTATTTCCTTAGGTCATCTGAGTACCGCGGTGAATCAGACCTGGCGAAAAACGTTAGCCGCCTATTTGCCTCGCGCTCTCTCGTATGGTTCACGGTTTTCGTCGATATGAGTACCAGGCTTTAATATGCATAACTGATATCTTTCACCCTCTTTCTTTATAAAGAACTAGCAAGGTCGCCCGCAGCTTCGTCTGCTGAAGTTTTGTAAATAGAATAAATATTGTCTTGAAGTTTTGAATTAGATTTATCTTTGCTACTCAAGCTAAATTTAAAACATTCTACATTACCATATCGCCATAGATGTAGAGGTTTTGGCGTGTTGTATTTGTGCTTTCCCCTAAGGACCTATTTCACAATGTAAATGTTTTATAATGTAGCGGAAAGGTGTGAGGGAAATCCATGAATCTATTTAGTTAAACATTTATATGTATTTGTTTAAACATAGGAATGCAGTTTCAGATTGCCCTTTGGAGGAAATGTGTTACAGCTGTTTAGGATTTGCAAATTAAATATTTTTTACAAAGGATATCAGTTTTAGTATAATAAATTTAAAAAGAATTTAATTTCCCTCGTCAGCAACAAATGCATATGTATATACACACGGATATGCTTAATATCTTTAAGGTGTTGGAAACTTTGTTTATTCCAGAACGTTGTTTAAGGGTCCCGGAAATTTAATATGATGTTAAACCGCTTTGTTTTCCATAAATTTTTTTTGGATTTTTTTTAGTTTTTTGTTATGGAGTCTTTTAATTAATAAAACTCTCTTAAACTCATCTCTATGATCTCAAGGTCGCCTTCAATGGAAATTCAGATATTGGGGTTTGATTGTTTTTAATCAGTTGCTCTAAACAGATTTTAATCCGACTTTGCATTTGAGTATTAATTTCTGAAATAATAACAGGCTTTAAAAATGTTGTTTAAATAATTAATCTCCGCTTTGTATATTTTCCTATTGTATAAATCTATTGTACCTAGAAAATACTATTTTATTATTTAATTACATTTTTTTGGATATTACTTGCTCTTGAGTTCCTCTTGTTGCACTGAAAGACAGGATAATCTAAGCAGTATTATATTTTGCAATAATAAATTTTTAACATACAAATGTAGTTATATGCTTAGACCTTAACTCATTTAACTGCGTTTGAGTCTTCCTGCAGCATGGACTTTAAGTGCTTCTTACATTCATTCCATTTTTAACTTGCATTAAAATAGTATTAAGTCCTCCTATACACTCCCTATTGGATAAACTAAATTAATTTACCAATTAGATATTACATATGTACATATATATTTACAGGCGCTGT